AGATAGAGGAAAAAATTTTAAAGCATCTGTAGAAAGATGACATGTTGCCTATTGAGGTATTGACAGTAGACATTACCAGAGACCATGCAGTTTAGAATACAGTAGTCCAACAACCTTAAAGCTCTGAAAGGGAAGAAAAACCTGTAAACCTGAATTTCTATATTCAGCAAGAATTTTGACAGAAACGAAGGCAAAGAAAAACTTTTCTCTGCCTCGACATAAAAATACTAAAAGGATTAATCACCAGCAGATTTGAATAACAAGAAATTCTTAAAGGAAGTCCTTCAGAAAAATGACACATCAGGTGGAAATCTGGATCTATGCAAAGCAATGAAGAGTACCTGAAATTATAGAGAGAGAGGTAAAAATAATTACTCTGTTAAAAAATATCCTTGCAAGGTGATAGTCTGTTCAAACTAAAATTTATAACATTGTACATTGAGGTTTATTACATATGAGCCACATGTATGTCAACTGTAAGATCAAGGCTGGGAGGAGCAGGAACTTTATTATGGTGAATCTCTTGTTCTGTACATGAAGTAGCAAAATATTACTTGAAGGTATTCAGTGATAAATTATAGATATATATCATAAGCCCTGAAGTGGCCAGCAAAATTACAAAACAAAGAGTTATAACTGAGAAACCATAAAATGAAATAAAATGGAATCACTAAAATACTCAAATAAAAAAAAATAAGAGAGAAAAAAACAGAGAACATATGGAAAAATAGAAAACCGATAGCAAGAAGATGGACTTAAATTCAACCATCTCAATAATCACACTAAATTTAAATGATCTAAAATCCCCAATTAAAAGGCAAGAATTGTCAGATTGGATTGAGAAGAAAAGCAAGACTCAACTATGTGCTACATATAAGATACTTGCTTAAAACATAGACACAAATAGGTTATAAGTAAATGGAGGGGAAAAGATCTGCCATGCTAACACTTTTCAAAAGAAAACAGAGATGCTTATATTAACTAGACAAACTACATTTTGAGCAAAGAATATTACCAGGCATAAAAAGTGTCATTTCGTAATGAAAAGGAGACAATTAATCAAGAGCCTATAACAATACTAAATGTTAATGCATCTAATAACAGTGCTTTAAAATACAGAAGGCAAAAATTAATAGCACAGACAGGAGAAACAGACAAATCCACTATTACATTAGGAGATTTCAACAACTTTCTGCCCTCAATTGAAAGAATAAGCAGAAAATCAGAAAGGCTAGGAAGACTTGGGGTCATCATCCATCAAATCAACATAATTGATGTTTATAGAACACTCCACCCTTCAACAGCAGAATTCACATTCTTTTCAAGTACACGTGAAGCATTTACCAAGACAAATCATACTTGGGGCCATAAAACAATTCTCAACAAATTTAAAAGGATTCAAAGGGTCTCAAGTCAGGCTACAGTGGAATTAAATTACAAATTAAAAATTTGTATGAAGGAGACCTCCAGATATGTGGGAGACCTCCAGATATATGTGTAGTGGGTGAAATTCTAGGATGACCTCATGACCTCTGCCCTCTGGTGTTGCTCCTGTGAATGAATGTTTCAGTTACTTGGACAAAGGGATTTTGTATATATAATTAAGGCTACCCATCAGTTGATTTTAAGATGGGGCCTCTAGGAGCTGAGAATAAAGCTGAACCAACCAATGGTCAGCCAGGAAACACAGCCTTCAGTCCCACACCTGCAAGGTACAGTTTCACCAACAACAGGAATGACCCGGGAAGAGGACCTTGAGTTCCAGATGAGATCGCAGTCAACTGGTACCTGGAATTCCGCCTCCACGAAGACCCAGCCCTGTCCTCTGCATTCTGACCTAGAGCTATGTGAAAATATGTGTTACTTTAAGGAGATACATGTGTTGTGATTTGTTATGCAGCCATATGAAAAGAAAAACACAATGTCAAACTTTGTTGGATTTCGCTTGTTACATGAGAAAATAATAAAGTTCTCAAACCAATCACCTCAGCATCTACCTTAAGAAAGCAGAAAAAAGAAAAACAAATGAAATCTAAAGTTTGCAGAAGAAAGAAAGAAATGTAAGAGCAGAAGTCTATGAAAGAGGAACAGAAAGTTAAAGAAGCCAAAGCTACTTTTTTTAGAAGATTCAAAAATTTGATGAAAGTCTTTTTAGTCCAAACTGATCTAGAAAAAAATTACAGAAGACACAAGTGATCAGATACAGGAATGAGAAAGAGGTGATCACCACAGATACTACAAAAATGAAAGCAAGAATAAGGGGTTATAGCAAATATATTCCATTCCCATATATTCAACGACTAAGACACAGGGAGTGAAATGCCACAGCTCTTTGAAGGAACTAGGCAAGCCAAAGAGCTTATATCTATTCAAGAAACTGAAACTGTAGTTTCACACTTTCCCTCACAGGGAGTTCCAGCACCAGATGTCTCTACTGGTGGAGTCCACCAAACATTTAAAGATACAGTAAGAAAAGAAAGCTACAGACTGTGAACATGAATACAAAAATTCTTAACAGAAGTTTAGCAAACCAAATCCCAAACTACATAAAAACAACAGTACCCCATGACCAAGTGGGGTTTGCCCCAGGAATTCCAGGCTGTTTTAGCATTGGAAAATCAATGAATTTAACTCATCATATTAACACACTAAAAAAGAAAAAGCACATATGATCATCTCCAAAAGTGCAGAAAAACCATTTTGTAAAATCCAACTTTCCTGATGAAAAGCATGTACGGAAAAATTCTTGGTGGAGACAGACCAAATTCTCCTGTAATCAGGAATAAGGCAAGGATGTTGCTCTCGCCACTTGGGTTCGGTGAGGTACTGGAGGTTTCAGTCAGGACAACCACTGAAAGGGGGCAAAGATGGCTTTGTTTGGGGAAGACATGACCCTCTTTGCAGCAAGCCTACGGAATCCATGAAGGAGTTACTGAGCATAGCAGGGCTGGAGGAAAGGTCAGTACACAAAAGTCACTTGTATTTCCCACACTAGTAATAAACAGGCGGCAACTGAATTGCGAAATATACCATTTACAACAGAACAAAAAAAGAAAAAATATTCAGGGATACATTTGACAAAAGATGTCCAAGACTTATATTCTGAGAGCTATAAAATATTACCAAGAGAAAGTAAAAGGCTGAGCAAATGGGGAGATATACCATCGTCATAAATAGGGAACAAAGGAAAATCAGTACTTCAAGATGTCAATTCTTCACAAATGGATTGATATATTCATCTCCATCTGAATCAAAACCCAAGGAAAATTTGTTTGTGGAAATTAACAAGCTGATTGCAAAATGTGCACGAAAATGCAAAGGGTCTAAGGAAACTGAAATAACATTAAAAAAGAAGAAGAATGCTGGGTGACTCACCCTATCTGACCTCAGAACTCCTCACAAGGCCTCAGTAAAAGCTGAGATCATGTGGGATCAGTGGAAAGATAGACAGACGGACAAGGGCATCAATGCAGAGCCCAGAACTGGACCCACATACACGGACAACTGATTTTCAACTAAGTTGCCAAGGTGATTTTGTGGAGAAAGAATAACGTTTTAAACAAAGGGTGCTAGAAGAATTGGAGAGTTGTGAAAATCAACATCAACTGTTACCTTACATCATAAACAAAAGTTAATTCAAAATGGATGATAGACCTCATGTCACAGGTGAAACTATAAAACTTCTAGGAGGAAACAGAGGTGAAAAATCTTACCCATCTGGACTTCAGCAAAGGTTTATTAAATACAACATTAGAAAGACAGAGTATTAAAAACAGTCTGTAAATGTGATTTCATAAAGTCCTGTTTTTTGTTTTTGTTTTTATTTCTCTTTGAAAGACACGGTCAAAACAACGAACAGACAAATCAGACTGGGAGAAAATATTTGCAAAACATGTATTTTCTGCAAAAACCAAAGGACGTATATCTGGAATATAAAAGGAACTCTTCCCACTCAATATGAAGACAAACAACCCAATAAAGGCATGGGGATCAATCTGGACGGCTACTTTCACCAAGAAGAGACACAGGTAGGCAGTGTGTGTAGGAAAAGATGTCCAAATTCATAAATCATTAGGGAAATGCAAATTAAAACCCCTGAGATAGCACAGAACAGCGATCAGAATGGCCTAAAAAAAACAAAGTCTGGGGTGCCAGGGAAGGGCAGCGTGGAGCGACCAGAATCCGCACACCTGGAGAGGAGAGCTGTCCCAGGGCTTCGTGGTGCCATGATATGTCTTTAAGGAGTTCCCGCACCCCACAGGACCCCGCAATCCATGCCTATCCAAGTGAGCGATGTAATTCCAAGGTGTTTCCAGGAGGAATCTGCGGCAGGAGGAGGGCCCGAGGCCATGGGCCTGGGGCAGATCAGAGGGTGCTGGTAGGCTGACCACAGGGGCCGCCTTTGAAGGTGGAAGCAGGCCAGGAGCCAAGAGTGTGGGAAAAGCCAGCATGGGGTTTCCCTTACAGCCCCTGAGGGGCGCCGTCCTGCCTCACCTGGAACCTGGCCCAGGGAAACTGCGTCAGACTTCTGAGCTCCAGAATGCAAAGGGGTGTGGTCCTGCTGTTTTAGGGCACCGAGTATGCGGTGCTTGGTTACAGCAGCCCTAGGCAAGGAGTACCCTGGTAAAGACAGGAGCGCGGGTCCTAACAGGCATGCCGAGCCAGCCAGGCCGGATGGGAAGGAGCACGGGCTGACTCCATCCCTATAAATTCTCCCCAGTGCCAGACAGCACCCCAGTGGGTGCCCAGGGACCAGCATGAGGGGAGAACTGGTGACAGAGGGTCACAGAGGAGCCCCTCAGCGAGGGCAAGGGGCAGGGGCTGCCCGGGGGCCACAGGGGTGGAGTGCCAGGGGGTGTGCCAGGGCAGGACCCCCTAGAACTTGGTCCTATTTCCGAGTGCAGGGCACATCACGGAGAGTTTCCGAAGTTGAGGACCCCACTTGGCGCTGCAGCCACACACACACACACACACACACACACACACACACACGCACGCACGCACGCCCCCAGGCCTCCCTTGCTCTCTGCTCAGAGTCCCCAGCCAGAGTCCCACCCCAACCAGTGCTGCCTGGGGAGTGGGCTGTTCAGGCCACAGCCCCACCCATGGGATGGAACGTGCTGCGTCTGGGCTCCCATATGCCATCTGCATCCAGGGAGAGGAAGCCCCTCGGGCGGCCTATCCTGGACACCCCTGCCATGGTCTCAGCAGGCAGAAGGCCGGGCACAGCAGGGCCCGGCAGGGACACAGCGGCCAGTGCAGGAGAAGCTGCGGGTATCAGGCTGGGCAGCAGGCCGGATAGGCTGGGGCGCTTCGGAAGGACCTTGCAGAGCCTCTGTCCAGCTGAGAGGGCCAGGCCTGTGCAGGAAGGGAGGGTAGCCGTGGTCAAGAAGAGGGGCTGCCTTCCCAGGACGGGGCCCCGGGAGCCTGACGGTGCAGACCGGAGCCCAGACGCCAAGGCCAGCCTCACATGACAACCCCGACAGGGGGCAGGAAAGGGAAGGAAGCTGCTGATGGCAGAAAGGGCCTCCCGTCATGTGCTCCGAGGTCAGCAGGCCTGGGGCCCAGCTGCGGTCACTCAGTGCAAGTCCTGGGGGAGGGGTGGCCTGTACATCTGCCCTAGGGCACAGCTCACCTGGGGCCCCTCCCCTGCGCCCCGAGCCCGGGGACCCTGCAGTCACTCGGTGGTCTCTCTGCCTCTGTCTCCTGCAGGGCCCTCCCTGGGGACACCCACCCCCACGTCAGGAGCTGCCACCCCTCAGGGTGTCCCTCATGTCCTTCCAGGTGCAGGCCTTTGCCAGTGCCCTCTCTGCCCCCTTCCCAGCCCTGCTCCCCGGGTCCCTTTCCCCCTCTCCTTCCTGTCTCTGCTGAACCAGAGCTGCTCCTGGCAAGGTCCCCCGGGCCTTTGGGGGGCCCCCCAGCACCCACAGTCCTCTGCTCACTTCTGGGCCTCCTCAGTCTCCACCCTGTGTCTGTGCCTGGACACTTGTCCCCCACGGTCGGGGGGGCTGCTTCCTCCCTGTGCCCCCCGTGCACTGCCCCCTGCCCCTCTCCTGACAGTTCCTAAGGCCGCTGTCCTCTCCTGCGTTACTACACTTATCACTTCCATTCCCCGTGGCCCCCAGGCCTGTCCACTCCCAGAGAACAGGGACCCTTGTCTGCTCTGCTCACCAGTGTTGAAAGCTAGCGCTTGGCCCCTCAGGGTAGCACACAAATGCCCCATCATCCTGTGGGGGCAGGGCACGCCCTCTGCCTCTGCCTGGGGACAGTGGAGACTTTGGGGCCCCAGGTGCACCAGGCCTTCTGGGGAGCACTCCTGAGGGGAGGCCCCCAGGACCCAGCCCACATGGAGGGGGAGCCCGGGGGCCCCTCAGCCCCGCCCAGGCTTGCATCACTGCTCTCCAGGGGGAGCACCCTGGTGGGGCAGGACCCTGGAAACTCAGTGCAGTGAGCAGCAGGCCTGGCCATGGTTGGGAGGCTTGGGTCTGCCTCCCAGCAGCAGCCCCCCACATCCGGCCTGCCTGCTAACCGTACACAGGTCCCTCACCTGGGCTCCTCACGACCTCCGCCTGCTGCCCAGTGACTGCACGCGAGTTCCCACTCCCGTGCATCCTCAGGGCTAACGGAGCCCAGAGGAACCGCATGCAGAACTCAGCTGGCGCCAGTGCTGGGGCCCCAGCTCCGCCAGAAGAGCCCTGTCCGTCCTCCGCTGGCCTTCCTTTGAAGGCCAGCCTCCCTGCCTCAGGGTCACCAGGGGCTCTCCCAGGCCCCCACACTTCTCCCTCCCTCTGTGGATCCTCTCAGGCTGTCCCTTCACCAAAGCCCTCAGCTTCCTGCTGTGATGGCCCTGCAGCCCAGAGGGGACAGTGAGGGCTTCTGCAGGGACCATGGCCAGGTGGCCCCGACGTGTGCCCCTGAGACGTGCAGATTATTTTGAGCTGAAAACCAAGCCCAAAAGACTCTGAAAGACACGCTGACCTCCCACCCCACGTGCATAGAAAGAATTTAGGTGGAGGGCTTGTCCAGGAGGAGAGCTGGGCCCTGGTTAGCTGCCCTGCAATGTGACGCAAGGAGGGATGCAGCTAAAGCTGCTACATTCCTCTCTGTGCCCCAACCCCCATAGTTTCCGGGCAGCCCAAAAAACATTTGTTTACCAAACATTTACTCTCTTCATATTCCTGTGAATAGCTTTGCTTTTCCTTTGAAGTCTCAGGTCCCTACCCCCTCCTCCTTGACATATATGCCTATTGCCCCTGACTGTCTTTGGAACCCATGTCTGTGGCTTCCCCATATAAACGTAATTAAACATCGTGTTTTTGTCTCCTGTTAGACTGTCTCTTGTCAATTCAATTCCCAGACCAGCTAGAAGAACCTCGAGGGGTGGGGGGAATTTCTTCCTCCCCAACAGTCACACTGCATGCCTGCTTTGTGCTGCCCTCACGCAGAGATTCTGCATCAAGATCCCATCACAGACAAGAGACTAAGGCTCATAAAGGCTGAGTAACTGGCAGATATCTGGGGCAGGGCACACCAGGGCTGTCTAGCAGAGCTTCCTGAAAGCAGTGAATCAGGGAAGAGCAGGGGGCAACCCAGGTCACTCACAGGGTGGGGGGCTGCACCCACAGCTCCCGCTGCCCTCTGGGGCCCCCTAGGATTGAGAGTGGAAGCCTCAGGACCTGCTTCCAGGGGGGGCCAAGGCCCATGCTCCCTGCCATTCAGCTCCTGGGGTCTCCCCAAGGGGGCCCAGCCAGCCCCAGTGGGGAGGCCCAAGGAGCCAGATCTCAGAAGAATCCAGGCATTGTTCACAGGGCACAGGGACCACCTGCCCTGACCACTCTCCCTGCCCTTCTGAGTCACTGCTCCAAAGAGACGGGGCAATGCAGTCCCAGGCCCATTTGTCCACCTGCCTGGAAGGGGCTGGGTGCCCCAGAGGGGCTGCATCCCCCAAGGTAGGTGGGCCCTGACCCCAGCCTCAGCCCAGAACAGGAGCAGCAGGAGAGGCCTTCTGGCCCTGGGTGGGGTAGGTGACAGCCTCAGGGAGAGAGAAGGTCTATTCCGGGAACAGAACAGGCTCTACTGGGAGAGGGGTTGGCTGGGGACCCACCTGACCTGAGCACCCCCCGCTGTGAGGTGGCCCTGGGGCCACTGGGGCCCTGCCCACAGACGAACAGCAATGTGGGCTCCCCTTCCCTTTGCTTTCTGGGTGGACTTGTGCCAGGCAGCTGCATCTGGGGAGGTCTCTCCCTGCACACAAGGTGAAACCTCCACCTGGATAGGGAGGGTTCCCGACTATGAATGAGAAAGAATTCTCGAGAATTCATTAGAGCAAGAGTAGAAATGAAAGACCGAGCTGCTTTGCAGGGCGGCCGAGCACAGGAAAGAGGGAGCAGAAAGCTCACTGAACAACTACTAGGCATAGGGCAGTCTCCCTTGCCATCTCCTGAAGCCAGGGTCACTGGGCATCCGTGTCCGCTTGGGTCCGCTTGGCATGGGGACTAAGCCCCTACCACCCCAGGATTTGGGGGAGCCACGGAGCTTTTATGTTCTGAGATTATGTTCTGAGAACTTCCCAAAGAAAGGAGATTTTCAGGCAGGCTAAGATCAGATAGCACAGCAGCAGTTCTGTCCCGGTCACCAAGGCGATGGAAACATGCAGGCCCAAATTTGAGCTCTTAGCAGCCCCTTCCTACCTACCAGGAGTAAAGCAGAGACAGAGTGAAGGCTTGGAGATAGAGGAAATAGCCAAGAAGCTTACGCTGGAAGACAGCAGAGACTAAATGCATTACGTTGAGCAGTGAGAAAGATTATTTAAAAGTATGCACTTAAAGAAAGGAAAGTGCGGGCGACCTCAGAGAGGAGGTGCACAGAAAGGCTGGGGATTCTATCTTTTCAGGATTATCAAGAATGTGACAAAGGGCCGGGGGTACAGACTTGTAAAGGGGTCTCAAGATGCTTATTTCTGGTGATACACATTATATCTCTTCTATTATCAGTCCTCCAGGTAATTCTGCAAAATTAACACAAGAAACAGGTCGGTTTGTCTTCAGGATAGCAGCTTCCTTCTGTGAGCCCATCAGTCAAGAACGCCTGCCCTCCCCCCAAAGTGGGTTCAATTATTGTCTGTCGATGAAAGAGTATGTTGGGAATCTTACCTCCTAACTTCCTGGTTTTTAAAATGGAAACAGCCTTAAGATGGAATCTCTCCTGTTCTTACTTCACTTGTTTATATCAGCTTTTTGGAAAACTAGTCACGATGCTTGTCCTGTCTTTGTCCTATCTCAGACTGACGCAAAATGGCCTGGGGTCCCTTCTTGGGGGGAAGTCCGAATACCCCAGGGACAGCCAGCTCAGTGTGACTGAGGAGGGTGGTCAGCTGTGTCCAGCTCCTGGGGGGTGGTCAGTGGCCACCACTGGGGGTGGAGGTGAAAGCAGGTGCTGGGCAGTGACCCTCTGCTCCTCGGGCCTGCAGGTGCTAGGACACAAGTCATGCTTGTTCTGTGGGACATTTGGAGGGGCCACAAGTTCTCAGGAGAAGCCACAGACACTGCTCAAGCTTTTCCTGACATGCAGGAAGCCAGCTTTGGAAACAAGCAATCTGGCCCATCAGGCCCAGCGCCCCAGGCCCCACCTGCCCATACTAGAGCCCTAGCCCCCCTGCTCAGCCTCCCTCAGGGCATCCGAGCCCCACCCCGGACTCCATCAGGGGCCACTCCCATGCTGGGCACTCCAGGATTCAGGCCCCTGGCCCTCTATCCTTACCCTGCCTGCCTGCCCGAGCTCTCACGCTTGAGGCCCTGAAGCCCCTGGCCAGCGGACTCCCACACCCCTGTCCCTCCCTGGCCTCACTGTTGTGCCCACTGCCCTGCGGTGCCCGGCCTGTCTCCCCAGGAGTGGGCTGGGGGCGGCGCTGCCTCCCCACAGCTGGCCGGGTGCATGGCTACGTGGGGCATGCAGCCTGGCTGGCCTCTCCTGCGTCCCAGCACCAGGGCCTTCTTCGGGCCCTGGAGCTCTCCACCCTGGTCCCATCCCAGGGTCCCCGCACCGCCCCGAGGCTCTCCTACCCTCCCAAGGCTGCCTTCACTCCGGGGCTGCTCCCATTCGCCAGTCAGCAGGGTCGTGGAGACCCCCACCTCCCGACTCTACAGCAGCGGCTCAGCTGACCCCTCTGGACCTGCTGGATGGTCACCAGCTCATCTACTGGCGCACGCCTCGGTTTGGGTGTAGCTGCCCCCAGAATGCAGGCCTGTGCCTATCTTGTTCATCCCCGCTGTGCAGTGGCCGGCTGGCACAGGTGGTGCCGTGGGTTTCCTGAATGAGGAGGCGGGTCCGACCCAGCTTGGGGAAGAGAGTCAGTGTGCAATGCCTCCAGGCGCCAAGGCCACGTGGCTGCCAGCCCCCTGCCCCAGCTCCCCCGGGCAGCCATGACAGATCATGCCCAGGGCCCTGGCTCAGGGCTTAACCTTTGGGGCAGGCACGCCTACTGCAGAAGGCTTGTGAGCCACTGGGACCCTGGTCTCCTTTTCATCAGCACCTGGACTAGACCCTACAGTGCTGCTGTGTTCTCAAGGCATCTGGGCCTTGTCCCCTCTCAGAATGTGGATTCGGAGCCCAGCATGGTCAGCGGTGTGCATGTGTATGTGTGTGTGTTGAGGTGGGGGTGGCTTTAAATGTCATGAGTGTCCCACCCTCCAGAGTAGACTACAGCGCCTCTGTCACACTGGGCTCACCCAGGTGCCCCAGATGCCGTCCACGCACCCACCCCCACCCCAGCTTGCTGTGCTGCAGAACCATGTCCTACGTGAGCACAGAACCAGGGGACACTGGCTGCTGCACATGGAGAAGCCAAGGGCCCCGGTGGGGGCACACAGCCCTCCTGGGTTCTGCAGGTTGGACGATGGTGCAGGGGCAGAGGCCAGGTGGGAGGCCCTGATTGACCCTGTCCTGGGGTTGGGGTCGTGGAGCTTAGTGGGTGGTTGGCTCTGGTGCAAGAGCATAAGGACACGAAGCACCTTTAGCCAGGTCAGGTCCCTGTCCCTCAGGGCACCTGGGACCCCAAGCCCAGGACCAGGAGTGAATCTGGAACAGCTGGTCCCCAGATACCCCTCCCCCTGCTCCCCCTCCTTCCACCTGCGCCCCTCCCCCTGCTCCATCCCCTGTGCCCCACACCCCCCTATCCCCTGTGCCCTGCACTCCCTCCCCTGCCCTAACTCACGTCTCCCACCCGTCCCCCACCCTCTGGCCAACAGTAGCTGACCTGAAGCTAATGCCCTCACAAGACCGCCTCCGCAGGCCTTACCCAACTAATACCCTGAGCCTGGGGCTGGGGCCTCAGAGTGCTGCACACCCGCCTTCCTCTTAAGGGCCAGGGTGGAGGGGCTTGAGCGCCTGACAGCCAGAGAGGCAGGCCCAGGGGAAGGCAGGGAGGGAGGAAGGCGGGGGTGGGGAGCAGGCGTGACTCAGCATCTCTGCTGCTCCCCACCCGCATCCTGGGAGGACCTGGTGGGGAGCCACCTCCTGCCCTGGACCCAGGCGGCCCACTGGAAGTCTGCCCTCTGGCCAGCGCCCCTCAGCCCTGGGGCTACACACAGGGCCTGCACACCCTTCCTTACCCTCACGACACCAGTAAGCCACTGTCCAGAGCTCTAGTGGAAGGGGGTGGCGGCGACAGTTTCCTCTGGAGTTTTGCACTGTGACCCCTGGGGGGTCTTAGAGCCTCCAGGTGAGACCCCAGGCCAGGGACAAGGCAGAGAAGAGACCACCTGCTGATTAGGAGCGCCCCCCAATCCTCCTCCCCCTTTAACTGAGGGGAAGGAGGGAGGGAGGGAAGCCAGCCCAGCCATGCAGGTCACAGGCCTCCAGGTCCTGTCCTGGGGTTGGGGTCGTGGAGCTTGGTGGGTGGCTGGCTCTGGCCACGAAGCACCTCTAGCTTTAGTGCCCGGCCTGTCTATGCTCAAGGCGGGCAGCCTCCCAGTGTGTGAATTTGCCACAAATTATCACCCCTCTACCGTCCTGGGGACACAGCTCCTCTGGGCTTCAGGAGCTTCCTCCTCAGGGCTGCTGTCCATGGAGTGAGTGCACGTTCGTGCCCGACATGGTGACCAGGTGCATTTCTGCTGGATGCCCGCCCGGCTGTGGGGCCGCTGGCTCGGGGAGGCTCAGGCCCAGCCTTAGCGGACAGGGCCACATGGCTTTCCACGGTGTCTGTGCCAGGTCCCCGTCCCACCAGCTGGCACAGCCCGATTGCCCCCCACTCCCGACGACTGGTGTTTTCCAGTGCTTCCCATGCAGCAGCTCCAGCAGGCGGGTAGGACGTGGACCAGCTTTGAATTGCCATTTTCCTGATGAGCACCTTTCACACGTTTGTCAGGCGCCCGGGGCCCCTGCCCTGCGCAGAGGGGCTGTGAGTTGCCTGCATGTTCGTTTCCGCCTGGCTGTCTTCTTGGTACCGGCTCGCAGCTCTTTTACATCACGGAGCCGCGCTGCCTGTTAGATTCACGTGATGAAAACACATTTCCTCCCTGGGGCGGGCCTTGTCCACGCTCTCAGTGTGGTGTATTTTGAAGAACTGAAGCTGTGAATCTTAGCATAGCTAATTTATCATTCTCCCCCTGTAAGACACTGGTCCTGTAGCCACCATGACGGTACCACACAGAGTAGTTTCCTGTCCTACAAATCCTCTGTGACCCACCTGTTCACCCCCGTCCCCCGAGCCCCTAGCCACCACTGACCCCCCACCATCCACGGTGTCGCCTTTTCCAGAGTGTCACAGAGGGGCTCACACAGTGCGTGGCCTTCCCAGGTCGGCTTCCCCGGTGGTCCTGTGCGTGTGAGGGCCCTCGTGTGTTCTCCTGGCCCGATGGCGCGTCTCTCTTTAGTGCAGAATAACACCCGTTGTCGGGCTGCTCCACAGTCCGTCCGTCACCTGTGGAGGATGCCTTGGTTGCTTCCAGGTTTGGGCCGTTATGGATAAATCTGCTGTAAACATCGGTGTGCGGGGTTTGGTGTGGACGTAGTTTTCAGCTCCCCTGGGTAAATACAAGGAGCGTGATTGCTGCATCGCATGGTTAGAATGAGTGTGGCTTTGCAAGGAACCGTCAAGTCGTCTTCTGACACGGCTGTTCCTACCGCGTGTGGGGGTCCCTGCCGCGCCTCATCCTTGCCAGCCTTCGGGGTGCCAGTGTCCTGGATCTCGGGCCCTCTCCTAGGTGCAGCACGGCGGGGTCTCACGGGTGCTTCCGTCTGCATTTCCCATGCGCTGCAAGTGGCCCTCCTGTGTTTCTTGGCCTCTGTACATCTTCAGCAGGTTCACTAAGACCTTTGGCTCATTTTTTAGGTAGGTTGTTTGTTCTCTGAGTTTTAAGAGCTCTTGGCCTACTTTGGATGGCAGTCCGTTATCAGATGTGTCTTCCACAACTATTTTTTTCACTCCACACCTTGTTTTTTCACTCTCTGTAGCTTTCAGATGTTTGGTATTTTTTTGATTCCCATCTAAACAATGGATCTTTACTGTTGAAATTCATGATTCCAATGGAGACGGCTCCCTTTGTCTTTTTTCCCCTAAAGGATTTACCCCTGGGGTGTATCTTGCTAATCTACCTGCGGTGTGAAGGAGGGGTGGGTGGGGGATCCCCCCTGGGGATCCCTCCCCAACCCTGCAGTCCACCTGGAATGCCATCCGTCCCCCACCGCCTTTCCTCCTCCGTCATCTCTTGGCCTATCTTTGCCTCATACCACAGTGCCTTTAGACGGCTGTTATCTCTTAAATGTCATCCCCACCACTGAAACTGCCCTCTGGAGGTCAGATTGCTACATCCAACGGTCAGCGCAAGCTGCACCTTCCTCCTGCTGGGCAGCTGACACGGTGGCCACACCCTGGGCATCTGCTTTCCTCCCTGGCTTCCAGCCTTTCCTGTCTGGGTCTCTCCCTCCCCAGCTGCTCAGTCCCCTTTGTGATTCTCTCACCTCTCAGGCTTGGGGAGCACACCAAGCCTCTAATAGTCTCTGCCTACCCTTAGCCCTCGATTGCATCCAATCTCACTATTCAAATACCATTGAACGGCAATGACTCCCAGGTTTCTATCTCAGCTTGGCACTCTCCCCTCAATTCCCACTTCCAGCAGCTGCTGCCACTCAACAGTGCCACTGGTATGTCCCACGGACATCACCTCGAGGGACACATCAAGACCCAAGCTCCCAGCCTTCCTCCCCAGACCCCATCCGCCTGCACTGATTCCCGACTCTGCCAACAGAAAGCCATACTTCTGGCTATTTTTCACTGACTCCATTAGTCCTATCTCTCGGGAAATCCTATCGGCCTGGCCTCAAAATGGCATCCCAAACAGCATGCCTCTCACCCTCTCCTTGGCTGCCGTCCTAGCCCAGATACTGCCCAGCCCAGTGTGTCCTCTCCCAGCCCTGTGCCCTCGCCGCAAGACACAGTGGAGCGATGCTGATCAGGACCCCACAGCTCGTCCAACTCAGATGAGCCAGGGTCCCCCAGGGTCCAGACATCTGAGTGGCCTGGCAGGGTCGTTCCCTCTGCCCCGCCCGTCTCTGCCTGCTCGTGCCTCCTTCCCTGACCCCCCATCTCTTAAGAGGCTGCTCGTTGTAGCCCTCTCCCCTCCCCACCGTCACCCCCATGTCCCGCCCCGCCTGGACGCCCCCCTGGGCACTTACCTCCTTTCAAGGCCCCGTGTGCCGTGTCCAGTGTGTAGATGCCACAAGGGAAGGAATCCTGGCTGTTCCCAAGATCAGAGCACCCACAGCCTGGCATGTGGTGGGCGGAGGACAGCTATGTGGGGGTGAACAGATGCACAGGGTCCCAGAGGGACAGATGCACAGGCACGGGAGTGGCGGGGACATGGCTTCTAATCCCCTCCCATCCCCTGACTCACCCAGGCAGGACTCTCCCCATCTGGGCCTCTTCTCTCCATCCTGGAGAGTCAAGGGTTAGGCTAACGGTTTCTAGACCCTGGCGCCCACGCATGAGGAGCCAGAGATGCAGGAGCCAGGCCCCCGGCTCCTTGCTGGGCTGAGGTCTCCAGGACTCCCATGCCAGCTGAGCTAACCTGGGTGCCCTGCCCCCACCAGGCCTGCCTTCAGAGCTGTCCCCAGTGGGCACTTGCATGTATCCAGGTCCTGCAGTTCCTGCTGGGCCCACTGCCCTCTTCCTGACCTTGCCCTACATCTGGCAGGGCACAGGGTTTCCAGGAACACAGGGCCCTGGGCTGGAGCCCCTGCATGTGACGTGAATACAGTTCTGTCTGGTGTTGGGCGGTGGAGGCCCTGCAGCCATGGCTCATAGCGCTGCCCACGAGGAAGGTGCCCTGAGCTCCTCCCTGGGGAGGCAGCCTCAGGTCCCAATGAGCCGCCTCTTCTGCTTCATTGCACCCCAAGCCTCCGTTGGCTTCCAGGGAGGTGGAGAATCAGGAATCTAAGCGGGAGATGGAGGGGGCAGAGACAGGAGACAGGACCCCTGGGTGCCACTGGTGGGCACAGGCAGGGGTCTACAGACCCTTCTATCCCTTCCACACAAAGCTGTCCAGCACGTGCCAGGCGCTGCTTTGCACTGAATGGACTGAAAGGTGGTCCCTGCAGGAGGCGGGGGCCTTCCACCCTGTGGGCCACCAGAGGGTCCCTTCTCAAAAGCTGCTGCAGTCCTCCAGGGAAGCCAAGGTTCTCAGTCCTGTTTGTGCTAGCCCTGGCCAGATGCAACTGGCTGCCATATCCCACCTCTGACCCCTCCAACTGTCCACACCACCTCTCCCGCCCACACCCTCTGGTGGCCTCACCAGCCTCATCAACGCCTCTGGAGAAGCTGTAGGCAGGACGCTCTGAGGTGTGTGTCTCCGTACCCACCACCTGAGCATCACGGGACACACATGGCCTTGTCCACTGCTGGGCATTGCAACTGTGGACAGTGAACCAGGGGGACGCCAGCTGGAACCACCTTCCCGTGCTTGCCGGTGTCCAGCCCAGGGGCAGCCCCACTGACCTCTCTGAGATACCAGCCTGCTGGGAGGGAGGGGGGGCACCCCATGCTGGGGTCCTGCTCTGGGCCTGCACCCAGAGCCACTTAGACCCCAAGGACCTGGAGTCAGATTCTGAAGGAAGGAAATTTGCTTTGCTCCTGGATTTAGTCTAGAACCACCCAGATGAAGCCAGGACTATGTGGAGCAGCCAGGTGTCCAGGCCAGGTTTGGTGATGGTCACTGGTCTGTGGCCTTCGGGCTGACAGTGGGGGATTTGCCTGGAGTCAGGGTCCTCATTTATTTGGTGGTTTCAGGGAAGATGGGACTCCAGTCCTGCCTGCTGTGTGCCCAGGCAGCAGGTAGGACCTCTTGAGAAGGGCCCTGGGTGTGCCTCCCCACAAAAGCTCCTTTTTGTTCATGTCCTGCTCCAATGTCACCTTCCAGGGAGGCCTGTCCCAGGAGCCCTGACTTCTAGCACACTCCCCGTTTACTTTCCTTCTTGACGTGGCCCCTGACACCTGTGCAAACCCTTTCCTCTGGGCCTGGGCTGGAGGGATGGGCCCCGTGGGCCCCACCCCGCCCTCTCCTCGGACACTGGGTCTCAGCTGCGGACAGCAAACTGGGCATGAAGGAGTGGGTGGCCGGCTCCTGGAGGGCAGTGGGTCAGTGTGGCCCCAGCTCGCTGAGCACTGCCTGAGCAAGGGACTCCCTACCAGCCCTCCCAGGTGGGTGGAGGGCCTCAGCTGGGAGACCCGCTGCCCGGAGTCCTCTGAGGGGGCCGTGGGAGCCTCAGAGGAAGGAGGGCCCAGGGCCGCTAGGGCAGGGCCAGGCCCAGGGCTGCTCCTCTGCTGAGACGTGGGAACGATGCTGGGGGTGGTGGTGGGGGTTGTGGACCCTTGGAGAGGGAGGCTAAGGCCCGTCTGGGTGGCTGGAGCTTCCGGAGTGCCGTGTGGGCGACTGCCAGGCAAGGAGAGGGACGGCAGGAGGCCTGGGGCGGCGCGGGTTACCGGGAGGGCGCGGGGCAGGGCCCTGCAGGGCGGAGGGGCCTCGGTCCGGCACGCGGCCGGGAAGCCAGCCCGCTGGAGCCGCCCCGGGGCTGTCGCCTGCCCGGCGCCTTCCTGGGTCGCGGCGGCCGGGCGCTGGTGGAGTGGTGGGGCGGCCCCGGGCGTCGTGCGCGGCCCCGACGGGCGCTCGTGGAGGGAGGGGCTTCGCCCCGCCCCCGGCCCCGCCCCGAGCCCGCCCCGCGCAAGCCGACGGGCACACGTGACGGCCCGGGCGCAAACAAGCCGGTCAGCTGACCCGGCCCGACTGCGCCGTCATCCCGGCTATAAGCGCGCAACCTCGAGCGGGAGCTCAGACTGGGCTGCCGCCGCCATGCCGCCCTTCAGCCTGCTGCTGCTCGCCCTCTGCCTCCGGGCCGCGCCCGCCGCCGCGCTCGTCAGGTGAGGCCCGCGCCGCGGTGACCTCGCAGCCCCGCTGGGACGCTGCCGAGCCGCCCCCCGCGGGTGGGCGGCGGACTCTGCAGGCGCGGGGTCCTCCAGGGCGCCCGCCACCCGGCGAGCCCCCCTCTCCACCACCGTGGGGTCGGCCTTGGGGCGACTAGAGGAGGCAGGTGGCTCTGACGTGGGGCTGACCCAGCCTCCCCAGGACAGGTGGGGTTGGGGTGCCTGTACTCAGCGCCCACATGTGGAAGTAGCGAGACTCAGGTGTGGTCCCCGGAACCCCTATACCTGGGCAAGTCATTTCCCGCTTGGGGCCCCCCTTTGCCACTGTGAACGGGGCGTGGTCTCACTGGTTTGGCCCCTGGTATCTTACTACGTGCCCGGGGCGCCGAGCCCCCTCAGACCGTGGGAGGGCGCTAGCCTAAGGAGCGGCACCAGGCGGAGGCGGCTGAGGCTCTGGCCCACCAACACCGTAAGCCTGTGGGCACCATGCTCTCCGCGGGCCTAGGCGCCTGTCCCGCTGTGCTGGGTGAAGCCACCAACCGCTTTGCCTGGACAAGGGCTGTGCCGTGCCATGCCAGCCAGGTTGAGGATGGGCGTCCCACCCCCTGCTCCCCCAGGAGAAGGGGTGCCAAGGGCTTGTCTCCTGCCCCTGCCCTCATTCGTACCCTCGGCGCCTGGGTGGCATTCTTCTACCTCTGCTTGTGGGCCTTCTGCTTGTGGCAGTGGGTGAGGTCACAGGCCTGCAGGAGCCACCTGCTGGGACTGAGCTCCTCTGGTCAAAGGGCTGGCCTGTGTGGGCTTTCCCGTGGGCTGTGGCCTGGAGCCTAGTAACCCCAACTGTAGCTATTGTGGGGAGCAGCCACAGGCCTCCCCTGCACAGATGGACCTCCATGGGGTAGGGAGCCTGGGGCTTCTTAGGACTGAGCAGCTGTACCAGAGCCCCTTACACCCTGTCCCAGGTCCTGTGGGACAGATGACACCTGTTTCCTCTGTTATGGGAGGGTGTGTCCCTCTGCTCCAGGCAAGAACCTCGGGCTCTTCCAGCCTATCAGCTCTTAGGCAAGAGTCCCATCTTCCTGGAGCACGCCCCTGACAAGCCAGGAAAAGCCACTGACTGTGAACTCTACAGTCCCCTGGGCAGGGGAGACATTGCACCCAGTGCCTCAGATTGCTCAGTGTGCCCCTGTCCCACTGCTGGGCTATGGGAGCAGGGCACAAGGCCCAGTAAGGGGAGCTGGGGGTCCATGGGACACTGGTGATGGCAGGCCTCTTGCGCAATGGAACAGGACAGCTGACCTCAGTGTGTGCTCTCTTCTGCTGGGGCGCACCTCCAGGAACACCCCAGATGGGGACTGTGTGCTAGGAGGCAGGGGCTCCGGAAAAGGGCATGTAGCGCTGGTGCTGTGGGGCATGCGTGGAGGCAGGCAGCTCTGGAATGCCAGCCCCCAGCGCACCTCCACGGCAGCCCCAGAGTCTACGTGGGGTGGAGACAGTGGCAGATCAGCAGCAATGACGAGTTCCCTGCAGCGGGGGCCATGGCACTGGAAGGAAATGGTCATATGGAAGGTGAGGGAGGGTGGCTGAGGAGGGCTTCTCGGAGGGGGTGGCTTTAGAGGCCCCTCTAATGGCCGGGAGGTGGCCACCTGGGGAGGTCAGATGGAAGTGGGGACCATTGTGTTCAGAGTATGGGTGGAGACCAACAGATTCTGCCAGAGGGTCAACTGAATGGGACACCCCTGAGCGGCTTCAGGCAGCCGGGGTGACAGGTGGCCACAGATGCCCTAACAGACGCCACGGCCACTGTCCTGGAAGAGAGCAAAGTACACACAGGATGGGGACAGGAGACCGGCTGGGAGCAGGCGCTTTTGGAGCCCTCCCTGGTGTCTGCGGAGGGGGAGGAGCGGGTGCACTCTGCCTCCAGCTTGGATGTGGGGGGGGCCCTCCAAGTGGGAGGTGGGGTGAGCCCTGCCCTAACCCCCTCCTGTTGACAGAATCCAGCTGCACAGGTTCACGTCCATCCGCCGGACCATGACGGAGATGGGGGGCCCTGTGGAAGACCTAATCGCCAGGGGTCCCATATCAAAATACACCCTGGGGGAGCCCCGTATGACTACTGGACCAGTTCCCGAAATGCTCAAGAACTACATGGATGTGAGTATTGGGGTAGCCGCTGGGATGGGGTCCTGGGCCAACCACAGACACCGCTTTAGACCAAGTGGCTTCTAAGGCGATTTCTGTGTGAGCTGCAGTGTATTTTGGTGAAATACTCTCATTTTCGGCAGTCCGAGGTTTTGTCCGAGTCACCTGCTTGGTGGCAGGGGGTGGGGTAGGGGGGGCTCCTGGTCAGCCCCACCTCCCCTGCTGAGTGACCCCACTCCTGCCTCCAGCTTGAGGGCCCTGACCCGAGGCTCCACCTCCCTGGGCCTGATCCTGTGCTGGCTGAGGGCACATTGGGGCGCCCTCAGCCCCTCCTTGAGGTCTTCCCCTCATTCCACTGGCCGTGGGCCCAGAGCTGTGCAGATGTCTCATTAGGCCAGCCTTTGGAGAGTGGCAGACAGAGCCACCTCCTAAGGGGAGGGGGCTGTGCCCAGGGTCATTGGCTGTATATGGAGGGGCTGGAATCAGACTGAGGCCTGCCCCAGAGGCCCCGGGTGAGGACCCTGGGGGAGGTGTCCCCGATCCAGCCCATCCAGGCATTACTCAGTGTTCCGGTCTGCCCTGCAGGAGGCTTGGGGCACCCCTGACCCAGTCTCCTCCCCCTCCAGTCTTCACCCTTGGTCAGCAGCCAGCCCCAACTGTGCCTATTGTGTCTTGAGGTGAAGCATTCTGGAACACTTGGCAGTCTTAGCTCTGGGGACAGGTCCTTGGCCCCAGCTTGGCCCCTTGAGGGCTGCCCAGGGGACATCTCTGCATTCCCTGCCCCAAGGTTTGGGGAGCCAGCCCTCTCTGCCATCTAGCCTCTAGTCCACCTGGAGTTGGGATGGGGGGGCTGTGCCATCTGTCATGCCTGGCTGGAGCCCCAGCTGTGCCACGGAGCTGTGGCCTCATAGGCATGTGACCAGGCTGGTGGAGGGGGGCTGTCAGTGCAGGGCCTGACTGACCAGTTCCTGATTCCACAGCATTTGCGTGTACACACACACTCACACACACACACACACACACATACACACACACACACACCAGTTCCTGATTCCACAACATTTGCATGCACACACACACACACTCACACACACACATATTCACACACACACACTCACACACACACACACACACACACCAGTTCCTGATTCCACAACATTTGCATGCACACACACACACACACTCACACACACACATATTCACACACACACACTCACACACACACTCACACACACACACACACACACACACACACATACACACATACACACTTGCTGAGTCATCCCCCCAAAATCTGGACACCAGTTAGGTTGTGTGTGAGTCAGCAGCCTCCGGACTCCATGGGGCCAAGTGGTCACAGAGAAATGCCCAGCAGGGTCGGAGCCAGAATCCTGTAGGCCCAGTGCCCCGGACGTCCGCCCAGGGGCAGGGAGCACCCAGACAGGCAGGCCGAGGGCTGCAAGATCAAGAGCACTGTTCCCCCTGGGCTGGAGAGGGCCACGCACAGGGCTTCCCTCCGAGGCTCAGGGCCATGCCTTCCCCCAGCCGCCCCGCTCCCCTGGGTATGGCAGGGAAACTGAGGCCCAGAGCTATGAAGGCAGAGTAGTCAGTGGGGAGGGATAAGAGCGGCACTGTCTGCCCCCCGTCAGCTGCTGGGACCCCTCTACCTGGGAGTCCTCCAGGCTTCCCTCCTGGGGTGGAAGTCTCTCCCCTTTCTAGGCCCTGGGTGCCTGACAGCAGAGAGGCCTTCCAGGCAGGCATGTCCCATGCCTGAGGCTCAGATCGAGGGTGGAGCTGGCTTGACCACTGGTTCCATCTTTCAAATGGAGTGTTCTTCCCCCAGCTCACTGTGGTCAGGCTGAATGGGGTTGCATCCAGGGCCTGGGACCGTAGCATGGGATGAGGACTGAGGCCTGGGAGGTGCAGGTGGGGGTGGACAAGCTGGTACAGCAGGTCTGGCCCCCAGGGTCTGCCGAGGCCTGGCTCTCGAGATGGCCAGGGGCCTTTTCTCAGACCCAGTGGGGAGATGGGGCACCACTCCCGCTGGCCCTGACGGGCCCTCACCCCACACAGGCCCAGTACTACGGGGAGATCGGCATTGGGACGCCACCCCAGTGCTTCACGGTCGTCTTTGACACTGGCTCCTCCAACCTGTGGGTGCCATCCATCCACTGCAAGCTGCTGGACTTGGCCTGCTGTGAGTCACGCACACCCCCGCCCTGCCCCTGCTGTAGCCCCAGGGTGGGCATGCAGCCCCTGTCCGCCTCACTTGCTGCACCTGCTGTCCCCATGGCAGCGGGGAGCCTGCTGCGCTGTCCCAGCCAGTCGTCTCCGGGCCTCAGCTGGCGCTGTGTGCAGGGGTGGCCACCAGGGAGGAGGGCAGGCTGAGAACCCTCAGTGGCCCAGCGTCAGCATGTCTTGGGCGATATGCTGCTCCCTCTGCTCAGCCACTCCAGTCAGGCCTGGCCCTCCGCCCTGCCCGAGGGTGTCCCACTTTCCGGGAACCTGTTCGTGCCAGCCTTGCTTCCCATCCTGCCCTCTGGGCTGAGCCCAAGGCTGCCCAGGGAGGGCAGTGTGCTGGGCCAGCTGCAGCAGGAGGCTGGGGGCATGGCAGGGCCAGGCGGCAGGCTGACAGCTCCCTGGCCTGCACAGGGGTCCACCGCAAGTACAACAGTGGCAAGTCCAGCACATACAAGGAGAACGGCACGTCCTTTGACATCCACTACGGCTCTGGCAGCCTGTCTGGGTACCTGAGCCAGGACACCGTGTTGGTGAGTGTGCACACATTTGGGGAGTGGTGACCCTCAGCCACGCCTGGGACAGGCAGGGGTCTTCGCCAGCTCCCTCGAGGGGCTATGGAGCTTGGGTGGTGGGCAGTGGTCACCGGTGGGCAGGTGCCCAGTCAGGGCAAAGACCTGGAGGTGGGCAGCACCTTGCATACTTGGTGGGAGGGGAGAGGAGCAGACCTGTGTGTGTGCTGGCCAGGATGCCACAGGAGGGTTGCAAGGGAAAGGCGGGCGTGAGCGCCAACAGGGTGAGGATTCCACCAACCGTGCAGTCTCCGCTGGGGAACTGGCACAGGAGGGCTGGGCACAGTATGGCCCTGCTGCTGATGCATGGTGAGGCCTCCTCCCAGACTCTCAACTGCATCTGGAGGATTGGCTTCCATTCTGATGCCTTGAGTTTGAGGTGCAGCCTGGGCGCCCAGGGCCAGGCCTGAGCATGGACTGGGTCCCCTGCAGGTGGCAGGGGTTGGGGAGGCTTCGGGGGCAGAGGTGTGCTGTGGCCCTGCATAGGACATGGGGGGGTCTGGGGGGCAGCTGGGCATTGCTGTCTGAGGCCCTGCCTGCAGTAGAGAACCTTTGGGGCCAGTGCAGGAGCTGATCTCCCCCCAGGTGGGGTGAGCAGGCTCTCGGCGGCTCTGTGGGACCTGTATGCAGGCTGCATGGAGCGGCGCCTCAGGAGGAGCCTGGGTCGGTTCTGGGGACAAGGAGCAGAGCAGACAGTCCTGCAGGGCCAGCGTCTGTACCGTCTGTGCCCCGGCTGGGCGGTGGGGTGGGCTCAGGCAGGCCCCCTGGGTGGCTGGGGCTCAGGCCGCCTGCACAAGGACCAGCGGGGACCTCCCAGGGCCAGCCGCCCCCCACAAGCTGCCCTCTGCCCCCTCTGGGTCCCCTGCCTGCTGGGTTATTGGCCTTCTCCTCCGTGTCTTTGTGGGCCTGAAGCCGGAAGTTGCCCAGCATGCTGCCCCCTCCCCGCGTCAGCTGTTCCTTCCCACATCCTGCCTGCCCTGGCCGCTATTGCTGTCTCCGCAGCCCCCCTAGGCAGGGAGTGAGGGAGGTGGAAGCAGATGAGCCTTGCCCTTGAGCCTTGAGTCTGCTGAGCAGGGTTGTGTCCTGGGGTCCCCAGTAACCCTTCCGAGCCCAGGGCAGGAGCAGCCCTGGGCAGGGAGGGGTGCAGGGCATAGGCCAGAGCATCTCTAGGCAAAGCAGGGTCCTGGCGGCCTGGACCCCACACCCCCATCCTGCGGGAGTCCAGCTCCAGCCTAGGGGTGGGATGCCCGAAGGTGCAGGACGGAGTCGGCGCACAGAGAGACAGGACACGGAGTCAGTTGTAGGAGGTCTCTCGACAAAGTGCCGATAACAACTTTATTTATACCATTTTGCACAAGGATATGATTATTTTTTATTGTTCTGTTGATTAATTGGTATAGGCAGTTGATTAATAGGTATAGGCAAGCTTTTTCCTTTCTTTTACTTTCTAATCTATTCATGGTTGGTCAAGCGTTAGACAGGTGATTGTTTTTCTGTTCCTTGACCGAAACTTTTCCTATCAGCATGGACTCTATTGTGTTTTACGTTTCTATGCAACGCAGTTTCTAAGTAGTGCATGTGACCGTAGGAGCGTGTAGTATGTAGCAGCGACTATGGACTCTATCAGCTCAGGGTGAAATACAGGTCACCTGCTGCCACAGTTAGCTAGGATTCTTTCCCACAAAAATATTCTTAGAGGCTTTAATAAATTTATAATCAATCTAAAATCATAAACTCGTATCTTCACCTTGTACCCCTTTATAGGGCACAGTAGGCAGCAAACTAAATTTCCCCTTCTTATCTACATTTCTCTTTCCTCTGTGTGGATACCAAAATCTCCCTGACATATGCTACACAGGTCTCCATGGCTCCACTACTGCAGGGACTAAACAAGTTCTTACATGGTGAACAATGCAAGGGCTTTCATATCAGAGAAACTGTTTCTGTTTTAACTACAAACCTTAAACTATAAACAATCAAGTCAAATATGATGTATGATTATTCATTCAATTTTTATGCTTTATATGTAATTCTAATAAAATGTTGATGTAGTAGGTAAATGCAAGATACAGATAGAAAGCATGATTTAGAACAGTAAGAAGGCAGGTGTAGATGATCAGGTTTGTGCCTACAGACCAGGTCTTAATCCAAGCTGAACAAGGGCAGCAAAACATCCACGGGTGCATGCAGAAGATTTCTCTCAAAACTGGGGGGGTGAGGTTCTCAGCCTCACCTCTGCGGGTCCCCATTTTCTCTCCTGATGGCCCCCCTGCCCCTGCCTGCGACTGTGCCTGTCTTAGGTTGTTCCTCCCTTGAGGAATCTGACCCGTCTCTGGCTAACCAGCCATCTTCCCGGGGCCGTACAGGGAGATGTCAAAAGCTGGTAAGTGAGAGAGAAGCCATATTCTTTGAAAAGGTTAGCTTTTTCCTTCTTTGCACATGTATGCCCTGTGGCTTCCAGGCCCAGCACTGGCCTTGAGGTATCTTTACTTCCTGGAAAAATATGGTATTTGGTAATTTCACACATAAGGCACAACTTCTAGTAAATGGATGTAATTAGGAAAGAAGAAAACTATAGAAATAGCAGAGGAAAGAAAACATGAGAAGATTGATTAAGTGTCAGGGTTATTCTAGTCAACATTCTCTCATAACTCTATTTCTATAAAACTTTCCATCACTAGTTTCACTAGCATTGTAAACAAGGGGCGCATTCTCAGTGGAAATGGGGTGGTCAATGTTTGACTGACAGTAGGTTTCGGTACTTCGTGCCAGGATCGCCATTGGGCCCCTGCGTGTTCCATTCCTCAGGAGCGCTGTCCTGAAAAGCTCCTGGGAAACTTATGTTCTCATCCTTTCCACACTGCTCAGCAAAGGTTAGCTTAGCCCTTGGAAACAATGCAGGTAAAAGACAAAGCCAATAATATAATGGAGAATAACAAAATCAAGGTGGGTAATAGAGGGAGCCAGCTGCGAAGGCCCCTGCTTTGTGGGGGGTCTTCCTCCAGCCTGAGCTTTGCTCCACAGCTTGAGTAGCATGGCTCCCGGCACCACCCTCAGCTGTCCTTAGCTGTGCTCCACCCAGTGTCCCCAGCCCGCCCTCCCAGCTTGTGTGAGAGGTGACGACGAAACTGGGTTTCATGGTGGTGGCTGGCTGCACACTGGGGCCAGTGTCCCACCGATCCTTGTGGCCCCCAGGTACCCTGTAAAGCCACTTCCCCGACCCCGAGTGGCATCAAGGTGGAGAGGCAGACCTTCGGGGAGGCCACCAAGCAGCCGGGCATCACCTTCATCGCAGCCAAGTTCGACGGCATTCTGGGCATGGCCTACCCCCGCATATCGGTGGACGGCGTGCTCCCCGTCTTTGATAACCTGATGCGGCAGAAGCTGGTGGACAAGAACATCTTCTCCTTCTACCTGAGCAGGTGCGTGGCAGGCTCCTCCCAGCCCAGGTGGGCTGAAATTCAGGGGCTCAGGTTCTGCACCCTACTCAGCCACCCTGTAGGCGCCGGGCCACAGCTCTGACCCCTGACCTCTGACTGGAGTCAAGGATTGGCTGACCTCTCACAGATGAGCAAGCGGCCTGCCAGACAGTCAGTGTCCTGCTGGGGGTCTCCCCGTGGGAGGTCCTGAGGCTGGGGTCTGGGAGCTTGGTGGTCAGACCTTCCTCCTACAGAACTGCCCCTGGGGTCTTATGGCCCAGTGGGGACAGGCCGTGACCTCTGATCTGTGACGGGAGCCCTGAGGTGAGGGGACTGGGGGCCTTTATGGGGAGCAGCCCCTGTTGGTCTTGAGCACCACGCACGGCCCAGGACGACCACAGGCCCCAGTCACCATGTGGCGAGTGGCCTCTACCAGCACCCCCACGAGTGCCAGCCGCCCTCTAGAAGCAGCACTGGGAGGAGGGGTCCTACCTGTGTCCCCCTGCCCTGCGGGGAAGTGTAGGAGGCCTGGGGCCGGGTGCCCTCAAGAGGGGGCCTCACTCCAGCCTCAGTCTGCCCTCCTCGGGACATGAAGCCTGACAGGGTATATGGGCAGGGTGGGAGTCAGCAGCCTGCTGCCCAGTCTACACCCAGTCACTCTGTGCCCTCTGCAGAGCCCATCGCCTCGCAGGCCCACTGGGCACAGGGTCCAACCCAAGCACCTCTGTGAGCTGCAACCCATTATAGATAAGTCCAGATGATTGTGTAGAAGTGCCAGCCCAGACTATGAGCCAAAAGCCTAGGATCTGAAAGGGGAGCAGTTGGCGTGAGGTTTTAGGCAGAGGCTGTCCTGGGAATGGCAAGGACAAAGGCTGAGGAGCAGGAATGAGCTGCTTAACTCAGGGCTGCCTCCTCCTGGAAGCTCTCCTGGGTTTTTCTTCCAGGTAGACAAGGTTCCCCCTTCCTTACGGTCCTAGTACTCACTTCCCTGTCTGTCTGCTGGCATGATCCCAACTGCCCTCATCCCAAACTGACCTCATTGCAGACCCAGGGCCCCTGAGGGCAGAGCAGGATGTCTTCCACTGGGGTTGGGGCTAGGCCTGCCATCCAGGCAGTGTGTAGGATTGGAGTCCTTCCCCTAGGGGAGAAGTCCCATCCCTTCTGTCCCTTTGAGATCCTTCCACCCTTGTAGGCCCAGAAAGATCCCTACTCTGGGGTCCCTCCAAGGTGGCGCCACCCACCCTCTCTGATCTCCTGGCCCCAGTCGGCAACCACGCCCTGGTGATCAGGGTAGACGTACAGTGCAGGGATGCCAAGGGGCAAGGGCAAGTGACCCCCTTTCCTCCCAGGGACCCGAGTGCAGAGCTGGGGGGCGAGCTGATGCTGGGTGGCACGGACTCACGGTACTACAAGGGCCCCCTGAACTACTTCAACGTCACCCGGCAGGCCTACTGGCAGATCCACATGGACCAGTGAGTACTGGGCACCGGGCTGCCCAGTTAGCAGACCCACGGCAATGACTGGGCCACAGGCCTGGTGGGGGTTGGAGAGGGTGGTGGAGACCTGAACCCTACACCCCCAGGCCCTAGCTGCCTTCCCCTGCCTCCTGGAGCCTAGCTGAGCTCTTGGCCCCTGGCTCAGGCCAGCGACCTCCTCTCCACATGGCTGCACGGGCGCTGTCCACCCACTGTTGGCCTCCTGACCCCCACTTGACCCCTCATCCTCACTCACTGCCGAGTCCTGAGAAAGAAGAGGACATGTCCGGCCAGGGCTGCAGCCAGCCTTGGAGGGAGGACCACCCTGTAAAGCCCGTCCCGGGTAGGGGCACTCAGACCCCCTCCCCACAGGATCGACATTGGGAGCAGCCTGACTCTGTGCAAGGGGGGCTGTGAGGCCATTGTGGACACAGGCACCTCCCTCATGGTGGGCCCTGTGGAGGAGGTCCGCGAGCTGCAGAAGGCCATTGGGGCCATACCGCTGATCCAGGGCGAGGTGAGTGGGCCTGCCCAGCCGGGCGGGTGGACACCCCACTGCTGTCCCCGCCTGCGGTCGCCGCCGCAAGTTGCCGTCTTCTCTATCCTGCAGTACATGATTCCCTGTGAGAAGGTGTCCGGCCTGCCCGATATCACCCTGAAGCTGGGGGGCACAAACTACAAGCTGTCTGCAGAGGACTACACACTCAAGGTGGGGGCTGGGGGCATGCGCCCCGGGGAGCAGCAGCCGGGGGCAGGGTGGGGCCCCAGTGCTGACCGCCTGGCTGTTGCAGGTGTCCCAGGCCGGGAAGACCGTCTGCCTGAGCGGCTTCATGGGCATGGACATCCCACCCCCTGGCGGGCCACTCTGGATCCTGGGGGATGTCTTCATCGGCCGCTACTACACTGTATTTGACCGGGACGAGAACCGTGTGGGCCTGGCCGAGGCCACGAGGCCCTAGCAGCCCCCCGCCCACTGGCAGAGCGGAGTCCGATAGGAAGCTGGCCCCCACCCGTGCCAGCCCCAGCAGCCGTACGCACTCACCCACACACTCACAAGGCTGTGGCCCACTGTTCTGCTCTCTGGTCCCCCTCTGGCTTCCTAGGGCTGCCTGCTTGCCTGCCCATTTGTGGAGGGGGGCCCGGGGCAGCGGCCAGTAGACTGACCCAGAGCATGGCTCCCTTTCACTAACTTGGCACACCCAGCCCCATTTGGCAGCCGGTCAGCTGTGCATGTGGGCACTCCCCCTCCTCCCCTACACCTCGTTGTTCCCTCCCCAGCCTGCGCCTTGGGAGCCTGGCTGCCTGGACAGGGCCTTGGTTGAAGCCCACCCTGCACCAGGCTGCCCTCTTGGTTCCCACCCGGGCCAGGGGCTGGGTGCTGCCCATCACGGACCTGTCGGGTGCGGCCAGCCAAGGCCTGACAACGAGCAGGAAGATGGAAGCTGGGAGTGGACAAGAGCTGGTCTTGTGAGGCCTGTGGGATCAGCCTGGGGCTTGACCACATCCAGAAGGGCATTCACTGGCACAAGGGTGGGGCAGAAAGGGAGGGGTGCTGGCACCAGCTGCTCTGTGGCTGCTCCTCTCTTGAGCAGCTGGGAGCCAATGTTAATGTGAAAATACAGTTGTTTGGGCCTCTGTGTGTTGGCGTGTTTTGTGCTCTGTGGGGAGCATGGCTCTAAATCCAGATGTGTGGAAGCTGGTGTGTGCTGTGCTGTCAGTGCGGAGGCTGACTCCTAGCCAGGCAGGGGAAAGCCCTTGAGGTTCACAGACCCAGACCCCCTGCCATGCACATGGGACCCTGAGGCTTTAGCCTGCTGCCCAGCCTCCCGGCCAGGATGCCTCTGGGGGCGGGGGACTCCAGCACGTACCGAGGCTGGAGTGGTGAGCAGGAGGCTGTGGCCTCTGCTGGAGATGCAGGGCAGGCGGCACGAGGTTTCTGGTGTAAGCCTCACACTGAGGCATGGTCTTGGGGGCACAGGCGGGGGGGTACAGTCCAGTGCGTGCCCACCATGTTTTCCCGTGGAATGTTTCCCTAGCAGCAGGGTGTCCCAGTGGTCCCTGGTGCCCTGCACTCCCCATTCAGGCCTAGGAAAGGAGCCTGCGAGGGCCTGGCAGCAAGTGGGCATCCTGCCTCCAGTCTGGGCCTCCTTGCCAGCCCCTGGAAGCAGCCAAGTACAAACCCAGCCAGTGCCCTGCAGCCCCACTGAGGGCCCTCAGTGCTGGGGGTTCCAAGGGATCCCTGTGGGCTGCAGCGACCTCTGCGGTGGGCTGGCCCGCTGGGGATGGGGTGGTGGATCTGCCCAGATGCAGCTACACTGTTGGTGAGGCGAGATGCCCTCTGGTATCAGCTCTGGACTCCCTGGGAGCCCTCCTGCTGCGGGAGTTGGGGGGAATGGTCACTGTGATGTCTCATCTGGTGTCCTCTCAGCCTGCAGGGCTGTGGCTGCCATTGGCCTGGTCCTGCGGGGTCCAGGGGCTGCACTCAAGAGCTGAGCCCTGGGGTGCCTTTAAAAAACATTCAACTGGGATTGCACAGAGGTATAAGCACGTGCCCCTGTTCTCTGCACCTGAAATCTGAGCTCCACAGGGCCTGGCAGGGCTGACAGTGTCATCAGAGCCTTCCTGCACTGAGGCCGGGAGCGAGGCAGCCCCCCACCCCACCGCCTCCTCACTCCTCCCCTGTTGACTGCCCAGGGGGTCAGTCTTTCCTCCCTCCCATCCACCCACCCAAGGCACAGGGGCTCAGCGGCCACATGCCCCTGTTCTGCCATGCACACAGACCATTTAGCTGGGAAGCCACCTCCATCCCCTCTTCTGGAACATGGGGGGGAATGAGCACAACCAGACGTCTCTGCCATGCTGTGTAGATCATGGTGCCCCCCCAGCCCCTAAACACTGGCCTTGGGGCCATGAAGCCCCTGCCTGCTGCAGCTGCCCTGGACTGCCCCCAGGGGGGCTCTGCCCAGCTGCTCAGGGTTCTCCAGACCCTGGACTCTGATGCCTGGCTGAGCTCCCGCCACCTTGACTGACCTGAGCGTCCAGTCTCTTGTCTATAGAAGGTGTGTGATAATGGCCGGCTTGCCCTGGACTTGAAGACTCTCCCAAAGGAGCCCAGCTGAGGGCCTGGCCTGCAGGGGCCCCGAACCCTGGTGCTCATCTTGGTGCATTTTCTGCCCCACGCCCCTGTCTGGAGGACACCGTCTTGGGTGGGGATCCTCCCCCTTCCATGCTCTGGGTGCTGGGGGCCTGGGAGAGACGCAGCCTCTCTCAGTAGTCTGTAGGAGAGGGTCCAGACCCCACCCTGCGACCTGTAGCAGGCCCCTGGGAGCTGGGCACCCCCTCCTGCTGTCTGAGGACCAGGGGACTAGCAGGGAGACAAGCACAGTCTACATGCCTGCAGCCCCAGGCAGAGCCTGTGGCCAGGGAGGTGGTGCCCGGACCCAAGAAGCACAGCCCAGATGCTGGAAAGACCTGGTGGTGTGGCTCGCAGGCCTCATGCAGGCTGGGAGGGCACCTTCAGTCAGGTTCAGCCCAAGGACGGGGGTCTGGGTGCCGCCAAGCCAGGCCTAGGGTGCTGGGGGAGGGAGAGCTGAATTGTGCCTGGCTCCCCCGGCTCCCCATCCGCGCTCAGGCCCATGGGCCGGGATGGGGAGCCCGTCCTGCTCACGGAGTTTTACCAAGTCGTCGGGGCGGACTGTGTGGCAGGCTCCTGCCGGCCCAGAGCCGGGGAGCCAGGCTGGTCAGGGGTGGGTGTGGGCATGGGCGAGGCTGGGCATGGGCGGGGCCTGGGCAGGGGGCGGGGCCTGCCCGGGACTGGGGTTCAGGGAAGGCTCTTGCAGAGAGCCCAGAGGCCCAGGGACAGCAGGGCATTCGCGGAGGACTGAGCGCAGACAGGCAAGGCTTCTGAGGAGGGTGAGGTCAGCGGGCAGGCAGGCCACGTGGGAGGACGAGCTCCGGACGTGGCGGGGACCCTGAGGAGGACAGGGACTTGGAGGGAGACGAGGGAGGAGCACAGGGGCCGCCGTACATCAGGGCAGCTTCTGGGGGACTTTGGAGGGTCTGGGCTCAATGGGGGCCAGCAGATTGGTGAAGAGGACCCAGTTCAGGGAAGGTACCGGCAGGGTGAGGTGAGGTTGGGGCTCAGCGGAGGCACAGAGGGCTGGGGGTCTCTCCGTGGTGCAGGGGGCTCATGGGGACTTGCAGGAAGGAAGGAGAGTGGTGGGCAGATGGAAGCTGCAAGGGGCCGAGGCCGGGAGGGCAGGCAGAGGTTCCGGAAGCGGCTGGCGGGGGGCAGAGCATCAGCAGGGCCAGGTGGGGCAGGCAGGGCGCTCAGAGGCGCGGGCAGGTGAGCGCAGACGCCATGGAGACGAGTGTCCTTAGGGGCCTGGACAGCGCTGGACTTTGTGGGGAGCCCGATTAGTGAGGGTGGGGCTGGGGGGCTCCTGGCAGGGTGTGTGTGGCTCAGATTTTGGGTGACAGGAACTCAGAAAGGATTGGTTCAAGTGGGGCCCCAAGGCTCAGCGAAGGCGGGGACTTTGTGGGCTTAAGAGGCCTTAGTTGGGGATGGGGGTGTGCAGAAGTGGACGCCTGGGTGGGGCTCGGTGAGGGGTACATGTTAGGGGCTGGGGGGCCTGAGAGGGGGCTTGGTTGGGGGCGGGGGTGTGCGGGGACAGGAGAGCGCACGGGGCATGGGTAGGCGTGCGCACGGACATGGCCAGAGGGGCAAGTCGCGGGCGCCTGGGCTCTGTGGGGCTGGGTCTTGGTGAGGCTCAGACGGGGACGTCGTGGGGAAGGGGCCCCGACAGCAGTGCCCGGGGCCGGGCGGGCTGAGGAGGAAGGAGGAGGGAGGGGGCTCTCACCTGGGGAGGCAGACGGGAGGGCCCAGCCAAGGGGCGCTCCGGCGGGGCTGGGCGCCCAGCGAGGCGAGGCGAGAGCGGGGTAGGGGGACGGGGGACGCCGCGGGCGGGAGGAGGCGGGACGTGGCTGCGCCCGCCGCCGCCGTGAGTCAGGTTTGGGCCGCAGCGGCGCGGCCGGCCTGGCGCAGCGGAGGGAGCGCGGGCGGCGGGGGAGGCGGCGGGCAGACCGCGACCCGCGGGGCGGCGGAAGGACGCGCGGACCGAGGCGCAGGGGCCGGGCCCGCCCGCCGAGGAGTCGCCAGGAGGTGAGGGCGCGCCGTCCGGGCGGCTGCGGCAGGCGCGGGCCGGGCTGGGGCAGCGGGGCCCGACTGCGGTGACCCCCGGGGTGGCGCCGGGCCCCGGCGCCTGCGGTTCTCGCCGGAGAGGCGTGCGTTTGGCAGAGTGTCATCATCGTGCGGCTGTTTGTGGCAGGGGTGGGTGGCTCCCTGCGAGGGCACGCCTGGGGTCCGTTGCCGCCTTGGGCCCGGTTTGGGGGCGGGGGCTGTGCGCCCAAGTTTGGAGCCCCGCAGTCCCTTTTTCACCTTCAGGCGATTGTGTCCGAGTCTGTGTCGCTGTGATGGGTCCACGCTGCGTTTCACAGTGCGGAGCTGTTTACCTGGCAGCACCTCTGAGCGAACGGGGTGTGCGGGGTCCGGAGCGCGGGTGGTGGGGCTGCCTGTGTGTCCCCCCTGTGTCGGCGTTGTCAGCCTGCAGGAGCCGGGGGGCTCTGCTCATCCTGCCTGTAGTCCCCGCGGGTCTGCCCTGGTGTCTGGGGGCTGGTGCGCTCTGTTTACGGCAACTGTGTGTCAGTCTGGGCGTTGCTGGGGGCGTGGGGGGGGCTGCTGTTGTGTCACTGGGTGGATGTGTGTGTGCTGATGGCAAAGTGATGAAAGCCCCCGATGTTCCTGCCAGGGCTGCTGGGAAGGGCTTTGGCATCGGCGGAGGCTCGGGCGGGTGGGGGAGGCAGGTGGCAGGCTGGCAGCTGGCCGCCTTGGTGAGGATTGCAGTCTCCTCTGGGGCTGTTTATGGGTCTCAGGGGAGATGCTGCAGGGCACCGGGGTGGGTCCTGCAGGGTGGGAAGGACTCAGCTCATTCCCCTCTCCCCGCCCCTGTAGGCCCAGGGCCCGGCCAGTGCCCAGCGCTGCTGGGAGCCTCTGCCAGCACCACGGACGGCACCCAGGAAGCCCGAGTCCCCCTGGACGGGGCCTTCTGGATCCCAAGGCCCCCAGCGGGTTCGCCCAAGGGCTGCTTCGCCTGTGTGTCCAAGTCTCCCGCCCTGCAGGCTCCGGCGGCCCCTGCCCCTGCGCCCTCATCCTCGCCCCCCATGGCGCCCACTCTGTTCCCCATGGAGTCCAAAAGCAGTAAGACGGACAGTGTGCGGGCTGCCGGCGCACCCCAGGCCTGCAAGCACCTCGCAGAGAAGAAGACAATGACGAACCCCACGACGGTGGTGGAGGTCTACCCGGACACCACGGAGGTCAACGACTACTACCTGTGGTCCATCTTCAACTTCGTCTACCTCAACTTCTGCTGCCTGGGATTCATCGCCCTGGCCTACTCCCTGAAAGTGAGTGGGGTGGGGCCAGGGGCAGTGCCCGCAGGGGGTACCTGCTCTCCGCATCCAGACAGACAGGGATGTTGGCTACCTGGGCAGGGAGGGGCTGCGCTTCCCCATCCTGAGCAGAGGCAGCTTCCTGGGTGTGACAAGGCCTGCTTCTCTGCACAACCAGCTAGTCCTGGGACGGAGATCCAGGGCTCGGTGTCCTGGCCTCTGGGAGGGGACTGTGGGACTTAGACCTGGACGCATCTGCCCCCAGGCCTCCAGAGATAGAACCAGCATGGAGAATGAAGAGGCCTTGGGGTCCTTCCCCTGTAGACAGGAGGGGTGCAGTCAGGGACGCTGGAGACCTTCTTGTCCAAGCCCCCCTCAAAGAGCCTGTGCCAGGCAGGCAGTCAGAGGGGTTCTCTGATTCCCTGTCACCGGAGGTGTCCAGTCAGCCTGTCCTGGGTGGCCGAGGGCCCAGGGGGAGAGAGGCATAATCATGTCCCCGACACTCTGACCACACACCCTAAATGGGTATGACTTCCAGAAGCCCCTCACTGCCGTGAGAGTAGCTGGCCAGGAGCAGAGCAGGGCACCAGGCAGACAGGACCCCATCCCTACAGGGCAAAGTGGAAAGAAGTGGGCCAAGACTGCAGAAGGGAGGCGGTGATCCACTCGCATTTGGGGCTGGGGCATCTGTGCAAATGCGTACGGTCTGACAAAGCGCTCTGGGCTGTCAGAGCCCCGGCAGCAGGAACAGGGGACTCAGTGCCCCCCACCCATCTCCCCGTCTGTCTGGAAGGGCTTGGCTCACATCCAGCCAGCTCATCACCTTCCCCTGATTTGAGTGTCCAAGGCCAGGAGGCGGGGGTTCACTGACTGGAGCTTCCCAGCGAGATGGGGGCAGGGGTGGGGGCAGGACAGGGGGCTGGAGGGAGAGGAAGGGCCTGGCCCGGAAGGGAGAACATGGATAGCCTGCTGCTGTGTGTACCTGTGCGCTGAGCCCACCCCTGGCTCTGGCATCCACACCCTAGCTCCCGGCTCTCCTGTCCTTCTGACTCGTCAGCCTGGATGCCACCCCCTGCCACTCACACCTTTGCCTCCAGGGCCTTTGACCTCGTGTGAGGCCCCACCATGCAGGAATGGTGTGTGACTGAGTGTGCACCCCTGTGAGTGTGCGTGAGCAGCAATGGGCATGTGCACACACATGCATGTGATGAGTGCACACATACCTACAAATGTGCGTGTGCGAGTGTTGCATGTGTGCATGCATGTAGGTGCATGTGCATACATTCACGAGTGTATGTAGGTGAGTGTGCATGTGTGTGTGCTTTGAAGGTAGAGTCCCTGGGAATTGGGAATAGAAATCCCTAAGCCAACCTCAGCTCTGGCTCCACCCGGCCAGTGCCAGGCAGAGGGCACAGTTGCTGGGGCAGCTGGTGGGGCTCTGCCTCTCCTGGTGCCCTCCTGCCATGCCCTGACATTGGTCCGTGGACATGGGTCCAGCAGCATGGGCTCCTGTTCAGAAGCCATCCTCCCTCCCCTTGGCTCAGCTGTGGGTGGCCGGCTGGTGCAGGGCAGGCCCATCTGGTGTCGGTTGTAGGTAGGTCACAGATTTCTGAATGGTGCAGGATTTGTGCTGGGGGTTGGGGTGGGTAAGAATGATGCTTCTGAGTGGCAGAAGAGCATTCACTACACCCGCACCCAGAGCTGCTTCCCCCATGTCCTTCCTAGGGGGCAGTGAGGGCAGAAAGGTTTGGGACTTACCTGAAGGGGGCATGCAAGGTGAGCTGCCTTTTCCTGGCAGAGGGGACAGATCTGCTGGCTCGAGCTCCCTCACCTGGGAATTTATCCATCTGTCCATCCAGGTGCACATCTCCTGGCCTGCCGCACCCTACGCCATTTGCAGCCAGTCACAGGCGCTCCCAAGGTCACCTGACGGACTTGGGGTCAGAGGCCTTGGCTAAATTCCCAGCTTATTCCCTGAAGAGCAGTGGCCTCTTGATGAGCCACCTTCACCTGAGCCTATTCCTTCATCTATGGACAAAGCAAATGGAAACAAAACATTCAAATAAGCACACATGAGCAGGGCAGAGGCTGGCACTCAGTGGGGTATCCCTGCCTGCCCCCATCCGTACATTCACCCATTAAGCCATCCATCCAGCCCCTCCACCACGTGGGCCAGGTCAGTTCAATGCAGGCTGGGTCTACACCACACAGATCGCAGCCTTATTTTGCTTAGCCTGGTGTCCAGGCACACACAGTGCCAGTTCTCCACTCATGCAGTCTGCGAGCCACTCACAACAGCCACCATTAGCTGGGGGAAGACTAGACTGCGTCTTGGCATCCAAGACTCTTCAGGACCCATTTCAACCCTTTTCCTGGCCTCACCGGGCACCCCCCCACCCCAGCCATTCTGTGAGCGCCCCTTGCTGTGCCGCCTGCTGCTCCTCAACCTGAGAGCCTTTGTGAGGCCCAGGACTCCCTTGCAAATGCTCCATCCCTCCCTGTGGCTGAAGGCCCCTCCCCATCAGAGACCCTCTGCCCCACGCATGGCTGCCCTCCACCCAGACCTGTCCCTTCATCTTGTTGTCATCAGGGCTGGCCAACATAGGGGTCAAATAATGTTGGTGAGTTGGTGGCTGGGCAGAGGACATGTGGCAAGATGGAGTGTGCGCCACAGCATTCCAGAGAAAGGAGAGCTCCTCGCGGTTTGGGGTGAGGCTGGCGTCAGGCACAGGCGGCTTCCCGGTAGAGGCAGCATTCTCACTGGGCGCTGAAGGATGGGTGAGGCGACAGGTGTTCCAGATGGGGAAAAGGACTTAAACTGGGATATGCAGGTGGGGCGATCTGGGGGAAATGGCAAGGCCCCACTGTCTGTGGGGAATGAGAAGAGGGCAATCCTGGGGGGACAGACAGGCCAGGCAGCGAGGGGTTTGGAAAACCTGCGAGGGGGTTGGGTTTCAGCTGGGGCCCCAGTGTAGTGGTCCAGGCACGAGAGGAAGTGGCCTGACCTAGAGCTCCCTGCTCTAGGTGGGCAGGAGAGGGGGAGCAGACGTAAAGGGGGCATGGTAGCTGCTCTGTTTGGGCCCAGAGGTCGTGAGGGGTCCCAGTGAGAGGGAAGCCAGGAAGACGAGACAGGAGGGAGGACATGGTGTCAGTGTTCGTATGTGCATCTTCACCCACTCCCTCCTTCCCAAACATCAGCATCACCCACCCGCCCGCCCATCATCCATCTATCTACCTTCCCTCCCTCCCTCCCTCCATCCACCCACCCACCCATCCATCCATCCATCCATCCAAAGTCCACCCACCAGTCCATCCATTCACCCACCCACCCACAAATCCATCCATCTGTCCATCATCCACCCACCCACCCATCATCCATTCACCCTCCCACCCATGTATCCACCCGCCCACCCATCCTCCCTCATACAACCATCCAGCCTCCTCTGTTCCATCACCTCATCCACGTGGCCGTGCGCCCTCCCGTCCGTCCGTGTTGTACACGTTGTGTGCTTCCTCCTCCCTTTCCCCCCACTCCCACCCCATCCCCACGCGGACTGCACATCAGTTCACTCAACTGTTCATCTAACCTCACTTTCTCAGTAACTTCCCCCACTTTACTTACCAACTCTGCCTGTCAGTCATCCATCGTCCCCTGGCCCAACACGCCAAGACATCTGTTCGTCCTTCACGCCACCCATCATCCCTTCTTTCTGCTGCTCCTCTAGCTGAGCCATGTCCGTCCCTCCATGTCATCTCCTCACACTCATATTTACTCGTTTCCATCCTATTATCCTTCGAGTCATACCGTCCATGCACGTAATCTATCCGCTATCATTTATCTATTTCCCCTCCCTTCTCATCCAACCACTTGTGACCCATTTATCCATTTTCTTGTCCTCTCCCTTTTTTCTCTCCCTCTCTTCCTTCCACTCCACATGCTGAATTCATTAATTTACACGCCCATGCATCCGTCTACCCCTCCACCCCTCCCTCCACCCACCCACCCGCCCACCCATCCATCCATCCAACCTTCCAGCTTCCATTCATTCTTTATCTGCCGTGCTCACAATATCCCTGAATTTTTCATAAATACACCTACTTGCCCACACACTTACCCACTTTTTTCCATCGTGAATCGATCACTATTTCACTTACCTTTCCATCCATCTTCCACGTCCCTTTCCTCCCACCTGCCCTCTTGATCCCTTTGATCCCTTCTGCATCTTCAGTTCACTGTGGAATACCATCCATCAACACCCGGAGTCGCCCACCGTGCCCATCACGTCACCCACAGGCCCGCTCACCGTGCCACCCTCCCGTTGGTCTTGAGCATCTCTCCTTCCTCCCTGCCTCCCATCTCCCCGCTTCCCCGTGTTCCTTCGCCAGCAACTCATCCACCTTCGCCCTGTGTATCCGTTCTTCCGCCTTCTGCACGTCTCACGTAGCTATACACCCAGCTGTGCAGGGCGGCTCTGGTTCATGAATAGCTTTGGTCCTGGGACTTTCACAGGGAAAACCCATCTCTCTGTGCTTAACTTTCCTCTTGTAAAATTAGAGATATGTGTTCGTGTCATTGAGAAGATTCACTGAGTTCATACCATGTAGTGCTATCAGCACAGTGTCACACCCGTAGTCACGGCTTTTGTTGTTGTTTTTATCACGATTCCATCCCCCCTCCCTCTCTGTCTCACCCCCGTCACTTCCACCCGCTCACGTCTCCTGTGTCTGATGCTCCCACTCACCCGCCCGTCAGTGTAGGTATCGCCACCTCCACTCACACCCACCCCCTGCCCAGCTCCGCGTCCCTCCCACACCCTTCCCACCTTCTATTCTCTCTTCCCTCCCTTCTCTGCCCCCTTCCTCACCTTTGCTCACCCACCCATCAATTTATTGATCCACATATTGGTGAAAATGTATTTATCTACCCTCCCTTCTTCCCAGCTTCCCCATTCTATTTCCTGTTCACCCAGCTGTCTGCCTCATAGTCCATGCACCCCATTTCCCCCTCCTGTCCG